GCATTACTAATTACCCTCTTCCAATATGTGGCTATTTCCAGCTTTTGAACGGGTCTTTAGTGACCTAGATTAGTTCACTCAATCAACAAATATTCACCGAGTCCCTAATTTATGCAAGGTACTCTATTAGGTGCCTGGGGACACAGTCTGGAGAGTTCTTTCTTGCCTCCGGCCTCAGGTCAAAGGTCACCAGCCTCTGTGGATACTATCCCTTCCCCCAGGAAAGACTAAAAACCTCCCTTGGGGCCATGCTATCCTACCAAGCCCTACACACCTCTCTGTATGTGATTATTTGTCTTTCTCTCTCACCTGAGAAAATTACTACAAAGCAAATGCTACCTTATTCAATGCTCTCTTCCTGGAACAGTACACATATAGTTTGTGATCAGGATAAATTTGTGGAATAGATATATTTTACAGATGAGGAAATTAAAGGTCAGGAAATAATATGACATATCCAACACCATACACCTAAGAAATAAGTAGTACTTGGTTTTAGAATGAGCTCTCACCAGAGCTCTCTTCTATTCCACTGCCCTGCATCATACACGCACACAGAATGAAAGGTCTCAGATGTCTTCCTGGAACTTCAAACTGAAGACGTCCAAAAATCACCGCAAGTCACTCCTTGAAAAAAAGCCAACAAAAACCTGGTCCCCATCCAGTGTTCTCATTCTCCACAAGTGGCGTGCCCAGTGGCTCAAGCAAAAACTCAAGTCATCTTGATTCTCTCTTCTCCCTATCCCCACTTCCAATCAATCAACAGTCTTATCAAATTTAGTGTCTTTCTAATCTCTTCCCTTCTCTCCAAGCCCTCTGCCACCACCCTAGATCCCAGCCACCATCATTACTGTAAGTGAGACCAAAAAAATGACTTACTACTTAGTCTTCACACATTCAGTTTGGCCACTTCTCTCCAATCTCTTCTCCACTTAAGGGCCATGGTGATGTTTTAAATATCTTTCTACATATGTAATTTATCTCGCTAATTAAAGGCCTTTACTAAGTTCCTGTTCTCTTAGGATAAAGGCCAAAATTCCCTGTGGCTCAGAACACTGCCCACCTCTCCAGCCTCATTCTTTTTCATTCTGGTCTCTATTCCCACATTCTGACTGGTCTTCTTTCAAATCCTCATATTCACCACTTTTTCCTTCGTACTTTGAACATGTAGTTCCCTCTGTCAGAAACCCTCTTTGTGTCCCTCCAAGAACTTCCCATTGACATCCTAAAGTATTTAGACTCACTCAGGTCTCTTAATATGTCACTCCTACAGGAAACTTCCCCTGACTCACCAGACAAGGGGAGAGTAACAGTCGGGCCCTCCTATTCCACCTTGTTATACAAATGCCTTTGTCAGTAACATTCACCACAATTTCAAAAACTTGTCCAAAGATTGTCTCCCCTATTAGAGTATAAACTCCATGAGGGCAAGAGAAGTTTCTCATTTCACTGACGTACCCATAGTCCTTAGAACACAGTAGCTGCTCAAATAATATTTGTTCTCAGAATAACAGGCTGCAGCCAGAGTGTAGCAGGCTATGACATGAGACCAAATAAACAAAGAGGCAAGGATCATTATCGCTTTGAAAATATGTAAACTGAGACATCCTTGAATTGCATAGTTAATTTAAGGTCAGAGAGGTAGCATTTCTCTTCCCTAAAACGCTAAAAAGTATGGCTGAGGGAGAAAGCATCTTGAAAAAAAAATATAGAAATGAGAAGGTGGTGATAAAGAGGTCTAGGATGACGGCTTCTGAATCTGCTTGTCACACTAGTTGCCTCTGGGCATGAAAGTCTAACCACCAGACGGACTTTCCATGCCTAGAAAAGCACTAATGTTAAACAAATATAACTACCACCCCACCCTTCTTCTTAATAGGCGGGCATAAAATAACAAATTTCTCTCACCCACAAAGGAGAAGAAACCACAGGAGAGAAAGATTTTTTGTTCAAGTGTCCCTCTCTCTCCACCCCCAAAAAAGGCAGTTTTGCCACCTGGATAGTGCTCCTCAGCAGCCAAAAGAGAAGTGAAGGGGAAAAGACCACCTTCCCACCACTTACTGGAGCAGGGATAAAAAATAAAAAATAAAAAGAGAACATTTCATGTAAAGCATTTAAAAAACCTTGCTAACCAACTGGCAGTTCTTTTTTTTAAAAATATATTTTCTTAATTATGCCATTACAGTTGTTCTATTCCCCCCCTTCATTCCCCTCCACCCTGCACACCCCTCCCCCACCATTCCCCCCCTTTAGTTTATGACCACGTGTCTCAAGTTTTTTAGATTCTACATTTCCCCTACTATTCTTGCCCTCCCCCTATCTATTTTCTACCTACCGTTTATGCTACTTATTTTTTGTACCTTCTCCCCCCTTCTCCTTCTCCCACTCCCCTGTTGCTAACCCTCCATGTGATCTTCATTTCTATGATTCACTCCTGATCCAGCTGTCCTCTTAATTTGCTTTTGTTTTAGGTGTGGTTCTTAATAACTGTGTGTTTGCTGTCCTTTCACTGTTCATCTGTTTTATCTTCTTTTTCTTAGGTAAGTCCCTTTAACATTTCATATAATAAGGGCTTGGTAATGATGAACTCCTTGAATTTGATCTTATCTGAGAAGCACTTTATCTTTCCTTCCATTCTAAATGAAAGTTTTGCTGGATAGAGTAATCTTGGTTGTAGGTCTTTGGATTTCATGACTTAGAATACTTCTTTCCAGCCCCTTCTTGCCTGTAAGGTCTCTTTTGAGAAATCAGCTGACAGTCTGATGGGAACTCCTTTGTATAGGTGACTGTCCCCTTATCTCTTGCTGCTTCTAGGACTCTCTCTTTCATTTTAATCTTGGCTAATGTAATTATGATGTGCCTTGGTGTGTTTCTTCTTGGGTCCAACTTCTTTGGGACTCTCTGAGCTTCCTGGATTTCCTGGAAGTCTATTTCCTTTGCCAGATTGGGGAAATTCTCCTTTATTATTTGTTCAAATAAGTTTTCCACTGGTACTGCAACATTTCATTGTTCATGCTGCCTGGAGCTAAGTTATGCCTGTCACAAGAGCCACAAACCAGGCCGAGGGGTCAGGCTCATTGCTGCTCATGCTGCCAAGCACCAACTCCAAGAAAAAGAAAAGATAAAGCCTCCTGTGGAATTCTGTGGAATAAATATTCACCCTGTCTACACACACAGCCAGGAGTTTCAGGGTGAGGTAGAGCAGGGGTGGGAAAGGTATTCAGAGATTGGAAAAAGACTTAAATAAATGTGATATACTGGTGATAAGAGGGAGATTCTGAAACAGAGGAAAAATGAGAATTGCAAATACAGAAACAGAAAGAAACGGAAAGAACTTCAAAAGATGTAGAAGGGTGGAGAAAGGAAGATACAGGGTGAAAGGGTAAAGTGTACCCTAAAAAGCAGATAGTAAGCAACGGCCAAACAGAGAGAGAGGCAAAGCCAGGCAGTCCATCTTTCCCCAAATCCAAAAGCTGCTCATTGCATTCCAATAAATCACTCTACTACAAAGCTCATACAATAGTTTGACCTTCACATTCAGTAACAAGAAGCATTAAAAGAAGCATCACCCAGCTGTAACTCTGGAGATCTAACGGTCTGAATTAAAAATAGACAAAATCAGTTCAGCAGCAGAAGACAACCAGTAAATACTTTCCTCCAATGCCTGACTTGACTATAAAAAGGTTTGGCATTTTATTTTTTTTCTCGTGTGTGTGTGTGTGTGTGTGTGTGTGTGTGTGTGTGTCTAAAAAGGCTTGGCATTTCAGAGTTAAGCTTAAAGTACTGGCATTTCTCCTTCTTCTGACATTGCAAGAGGGGGGTGTGGTTGACCCCAGGACCATTCATTTCCAAGGTTGTAGATTTCTCAGCTAAGAGTTGCCCCATCTGCTCTTCAGTCAGCCAGCTGTTTATCTCAAAGTAAAATATTTATTGCACTAATCATCCTAATAACTTACAAGAAGGCCAACATTATACAAGTCAAGAATGCTTTCTGTCCTGTTAAATATGTCAGTTCCTTTAAAAAGAAAAACTAAAAACCACTACTATGCTCCTTGGTTTCCTTGGCCAGGATCACTCTTCCATGTGTACCTTTCAGTAATGCCAAGTGAAGGTTAACACTGCATCTAACTTTCCCTAACGCCTTAAAATTAGCCCAGGTTTCATTAATGATCCCTTCTCCAAACCGTTATTTGTAACTGGTGACTGAGCCTCAGGAAACAGCGACTCATTATGGTACATACCACTGCCAGTGGCAAGGAGCCTATTGCTATGTAATTTAAAACACTCACACAAGCACAAATCTCTCCGCTCCACTTTCAAACAAATCCGAAATCCTGCAATCAGGAAAACATTTAACAAAAATGCTGCTTCCAGCAGCCTAAAAGCTTCCCCAGACACGTGAAATATTTCTAACTGGCACGGAGTGCACCATTAAAGGACACTGTCACCTCGAATCAGCAGGAAAGGCGAGGTAAACGATATAGACACACATTAGAGCTCCACAAAACTTAACCTACTCAGAAGAAGCACGCTCATCTTAAAAACGAATAGTGTGTGCTCGCCCGAGCGACACAGAAATGTTCTAAAGTAGTGCGACCACATTAAATCAATGTCTCCATTTCTCCCCACGCATCACCCCTTCATACTCAAACCTCAGCACTCGGGCCGTTCGTGACAGGACTGCAGTATCCCACCTCTGCCTTTTTCTGATTTTCCAAGAGCACTTCCCAACATCCTCCCCAGCCCAGCCCCCTCTCTCAGCTTCAAAAAGGTTGAGGGGAGTTGCGACTAGAGAATTGGCAGGAATCTGTCCTCCCGCGGGGGAAGGTTGCTGGAGTTGGTCTTTGCAGTGACCCAAATTGCACAGAGCTTTTCGCTTAGCATCGCTTGCAAGCACCTCCCCAATCCTCCCTCCCCCACATCTTCCCAAAAGAAAGCCTTGCGAATTAAGCGGGAGGAATAACTTGGTATAACCGTTTGAATAAATCACTTCAACTCACCTGGTTTGGGATTTTTCTCCCCACCCCAGGCATAAACAGAAATGAGTGCGAATGAGTCACGCACGCAACGTAAGATGGTAAGATGTCTTAAGTCCAAGGGCTGGAATCAGTCCCTGCCCTGATGCCGCTGCTACTCTTAGCTCAGCTGGAGCGAGCGGCAATCACAAGCCCAGCACCAGCGATGGGGGGGGCGGGGGGTGGATATACCGTAGCACAATGAATGCAGTGGGGTTTATGCAATGACATCATCCCTCTGTCCAAAAGGCCCCAATAGCCATGCTCAGGAGCGCTGCATTCTGGGGATTGTAGTCTTCTCACGGCCTGTTGGGACCCTGAGGCTATTGCCGGAACTACAATGCCCAAAATGCGCCAAGGTCGGACGCACCCGGAGCGGACTTAAGGAACTGTGGAAACTCTGCCGCCATGTCAGGACTGCCGGGACGTTTCTGCGGAGCCGGGCTGAGGTTTTGGGGAGCGCGCAAGCGGAGTGGTAGTGTGTTGGGGGACGGTGAGGTAGCGAACGAGCCTATTGAAAATCCGGGGGCCCGAGCCTGGGAACCGGAGTTGGGGGGGCTTCACCTGGGGACAGATGTAGGGCGGGTCTGGCTGGAGGCAGCAGCCAGAGGTCGAGTGGGCCTCGTCCTTACTGTCCTGCGGCCGTTGCATAAAGCCCCTAACGCCTTTGCTCCATTTTTTAATTAAGGTAGTGAAAGGGTAAGCTGACTTCTCGGCTCTGAGTATTATTTAGACCAAGTAAAAGAACAGTCGGGGTGGTTGGTGTCTTGTTCGGACTTAGCGACCTTCTCATCTGTGGTCGGAGAGGCTTCCACCCAAGGAGTTGGGCGGTCCCTTCCAAATTTATTTTTAATTTCTTAATTTATTTTCCATCCTTCCTTATCCCTCCACAAGGTTTATGACTCTCGTTGGTTTTGTCATACAGAATGATTTACAAGAGGGTCCAAAGAAATGGATGTTTGGAAGGTAGACAAGTGCTTTGGGACGGACGGTGCTTTGCTGCCGCAATTAAGATAAGGAGCAACCTGAAAGGAGTGTATCAGCAAAAGGAGGGAGATGTTGAAGGGGGTGTTATTGACGCATGGCGATCAGTTTCCGAGTAGCATGCGTTCTTGGGTCAACCTAGAGTACACGTTAAAATACTGCAGAGTTGAGATGTTCATTAGCATGAATAACCAGCTTATTTAAATTTGTGGTCCTCTATATTTACATCTACTTTAATAACTAATTTTTTAAACTAATAACTGAAACCAAAATCACTGGTCTTTATTTTGTTTAGTATCGTGTGTGTGTGTGTGTGTGTGTGTGTGTGTGTGTGTGTGTGTTTTAATCGTGTTACTAAACAATGCTCTTGTTTATTTTTCAGAGTCTGTCTACACTATGGAAAGATGGGAGATTTCTCCTCCAGAGGGTGTCTGAAGGGTTAAAAATGCTGCTATACTTTGTGCTCTTTTTATTCCTGTCTTTAGCACTTTATTCTGAAAACAAAATTAACTAGTTACTTGGGGGTCAGTAAGGTATGCACTTCACCTGCTAGGAGTTAATACAACTGTAGCTGATAGATAAATTCTCTTATCAAAGAAAGGCTAGGCACAATGATTACAAATGATAAAAATGTGGCAGAAATAGTCTCTTAAATGTATGCAGATAACTACACAAACAGTTTTATGAAGAATCATATGTCATGTTTCTGGGAACAAGTCACAAGATGAGTGGATTTGTTTTATTTTAAAACAAAGATAATATGCTTTGGTCTCATTTATTCATGAAAACAACAATGGGAAAGGCTCATGCAAATAATTCTGTCATTCAGAAATACCTTTGCAAGCAATGGTGGTAAGTATAGGAAAAGGAAAAAATGTCTACTATTTTCTTTCTAACCTTCAGTGTAACTGTAGAAGTGTTTTAAACTTAATAGACTAGAGAGGTTCATTCACATTTAGGCTTAGTTTCGAGTTCTTAAATTTTCATTCAGGCTGATTTTGTGTCTTGTACAAAATTATAGTGAATTTTATTTATTTTATTCTTTACATAAGCAATAACTTCCTCATTTTGCGTTCCTGTGGAGGACATGTTTGTGGGGGAAGAAAGCCCAACAGATTCCTCAGAAACCTCATGTATGAGAAGTGGGACCTGTCTCTCACTGATTCTGTAATGTGTCATGTGTTTGGGTGGTCTGAAGTTTTTCCAGCCTTATATTCTATGGACATCTAACTATAAAGAAACAGATCTAGCTAATATCTACAAAAAGACTCTGGTTTAACCCTTAATTTTTAGGGGAAAAATTTGTACTGTTATTTTAGAAATTTTATCAATTTTTGAAGGGTTGGTCATAATCAGCTTCTGAAACAATAACCTCAATGTCCCAGTGAAAACACTGGGTTAGGGGAACTTTGAAAAGTGGAATTAGGAATGCTTTAGGTAGATACAGAAACCTACTTTTTTCATTTGTCTAAAGAGAATTAGGACCTTGATTTTTATTATAATTATAGGTAACTCATTAAAGAGCATTGTATTGAGTTCATTTGCTGTTAGAACAAGGGTTAAGTATCAGGATCATCTATTGCCGGGGTGTCAGACTCATATTCACCAGTGGCCACATCAGCCTCACAATTGCCTTCAAAGGGCTGAATGTAATTTTAGGACTGTATAAATGTAACTACTCCTTAACTAGGGGCAAGGAGCTCAGCACTGCCACCAGGTAGAAAAGAGGTGGCACTCGGGCCTTGTGTTTGCCACCTGTGGTCTATAGAACTCTAAAATACATTATTGCTCATGCATCCCTGCCAAATTGTCCAGGGTTGGAATCAGCTATTGTGTATTTTTTAAACTGCAGGTGACTGTCGGTACAGGGGTAGGGTAGAGTAGTCCTTCACATCCCATAATTTGTGTCTTCAGTAGTATGTCACAGTAATAAGTTTTGGCAAAGACTAGGTTTATTGATCCATAAATGAATTGTGAAAATGTATAGATGAAGAAATCACCTAGGAATTAATTTATACTTGGTAGTTGGGGAGGGAGGGAAGAAAAGATCAATTACAGCCTTGAGAATATGTACCAAAATATCTTGACTTACCTGTATATTTTTTAGACTAAGAGTTTAGTCTAATTCTAAGGAAGTGATAAAAGACACATCCAGTAAGAGCTTCATGCTATGACAAAATTATGGTGAAGAAACAAGTCTCTAGGTGGAAACAACCAGATACTAGAATTTTCTGAAAGTAATTTTTTAAGTAACTTCTTTCTCTGAAACCTAATTTAAAAAATTTTTGATGTTATTTGGATACATGATATGTTATACTGTATCTTTAGCTCCAAATTTGACTCATATACCAAATTTGAGCTTTTACACTCAAAATCCTGTAGCATTCTTTTAACCATATCTGTAAAGAATAACGACAAGACTCCAGAGAACAAGCATTTGAAATTTTTAAAGCAGCCTTCAGATTCAGACAAGTAGGGGATCTAGCTTTTGGAGAAGGAACGTCCTCTTAGAGATGGTAAGTGAAAACTCACTGTAGTGTTTTGGAGGATAATATCAATGACCTCTGGATTCCTACTGTTTTAGTTTGAAATCTTAAGACTTTATTTATTTTTATTTTTAGAGAAGGGAGGGAGAAAGAGGGAAAGAAACATCCATCAGTTGCCTCTGGAAGTCCCCCAAGGAACCTGATGGGGCATGCAACCCTCTCTTCAAAATGACACCCAACCCACTGAGCTACACCAGTCAGGGCTGAAATCTAGTTAACATTCTAAACCTCAGTAGTTGTAGCTTCAAGGGTATGGGAGAGGATTAAACAAAATAATCTATGTAAAGCATTTAGCTAGGGCTTGGGAACACGCGAACGAGTGTGTGTGGGGGTGGCTTGGGAACGCTCGAACGAGAGAGAGAGAGAGAGAGAGAGAGAGAGAGAGAGCGAGAGAGAGAGAGAGCGCGAGAGTGCGTGTGTTTGTGTGTGTGGTTAGAAAGCAGCTCCCCAGTACATAGGACCCCAAAGATAGGTATTCCCTCAGATTTACCCTTTAAACTATTCGTTGGTAAGTGAAACTTACACGACTAAACTGTAAGGTATATTACCAGAGTATAGCTTCACTTCTATGATAGAGGGCAGTAACAATTCTTTTCAGCCCTTACCATTATAGGAATGTAGAATTCCCATTACTAAGTTGTGTCATTAAGATTACTGTGGTGGCTGAAGTTAAAAAAAAATTGTGATAACAGATTTTGTTTGTAGACCTCTGTAGCTTGAAAATCACTCAGTTGATTATGACAGGCCCTGTCTTAATTGAGCATCACTGTACTCTAAAAGATAATCTTCTAAATTATGAAAAATGTTAGAATTATTTCATGCTGTACACAGTTCTAAAGTAGTGCTTTTATATTCCAAGCCATGGAATTTGAGAGAACAGCTCTCTGCTATCTGCCTTTCTATATCTCTCTTCCAAAATAGAATCAATTGTCTTACTTGCTTCGAAATGAAATGCCCGCAACCCAAAAGTGATGTAGACCCAGCAGCTATATTAAAATTATTCTATCCTAATCACAGAGTTGAGACTAGCAAGCTTAAGGGGGAAAAAATACATTTTACCGAAACATCTTTTCAGGCCCCACCTTCACTGGAGTTAAAAGTGTTCTACAATGTACATTTCTATGAGTGGACACCAGCATGCTATGTGGGGTTCAGCAGTTGGAGTTCCCTAAGGAAGCTCTTTAACTCATGTAAACTTTTTGACATTTCACATTTTACTTTGAGTTAATATTTAGGAAAAGAAAACATTTCCTAGTCCTGTTTAGTTGTGTTTGTAGCAAATTGATACAATTTTAGCTTCTGGCTTGAAAATGCCACTAAAGGTAAATGCAGTAAATACCCAAAGTCAAGATTTAAAATCTAAATGTGCGTAGTTAGGTATTAACCAGAAAAATCTGCCCTCTTAGTTTTTATAGGCTTGAGTGATTAAGGTGTATGTGCATAGGCATGCAAAACCACATTTCTTTGCAGTGATAAGTATGTGAAAGTGAACTTAAATATAGTATGTTCATGAATATAGCCATTTAATAACATCACCAGGTGATTCCTCCACCTAATTTCATTTAAAAGCAGATAAAATAATTTACCAAATTCAGACCTCTTAAGTGTAATCCCCTTTTTTATGTTCCTAATTTAGTCTCTCCATTT